GTGGAGCCCTTCTGTTACTTCAGGCCTGAGGAATACTTACACTTTTTTAAATTACAATTTTAAAAAAAGTATTTATTCCAACATTGTGCTGCTTTGCTGCTTTTCTGTGCTCTGACTGCAACACCAGAAACAGAAGTAGCCGTTGGTTTTAGGTGAAAAGTTTGCCTTTTCCCAAGGAAATAATTTTTCATTTCAGTCCTAGTCAAATTTTGGAAATGTTTTTCCTTATGATTTGGGATGAAATGTGGACTAAAATCCTCTTTGGCCAGCTCTGAGATTAAGTGCAAAAATAGAGCTGTTAACATGATACGTAGTAGCGTTGATAGCAACAACCATTTCCTTTTTGTGTAATATTACAAAAAACCCAACTCTGAAAATGTTTTGCATGAACTGACACTTTTTTGCACTTCATAACACCTTTTTGTATGTGAGGTCATCCTGATTTTGTGCTTTAAGGCAGAAAAATATTATTTCCTGAGGTGATAATGAACATAATCAAGTTCTCTACAGTTTGCCAGAGCTGGTAAGGAGCCCAGATCACTAATATCAGGAGTCATGGCTTTTTAACCACGCTCACTGAATTGAAGCACAAAACATGCAATTGTGCTCTTTTAACCATTAGCATCGTGTCCTTTCAGAGTCGAATATGAAACCCAGGATCTTTCGTGGGGAAGAGGACAGTTGGGGGCTGTCACTTCACTCCATCTCTGGTAGCAGTAATCTGTGTTTATTAGTTCAGAGTTTCTGGTTTCCAGAGCTGCTGCTGACCAATATATTGAGCCAGTGTAAGTTTGTGTGAGGGAAGCTGCGTGCAGCTGGGCTGGAACAAGCCCTCGAGAAGGTGGGGACTTGATTTCACGCTGTGGAGACTCAGCAGGCTCAAAGCTCCCTCATTTCATGTGTGTCTGTTGGATTTTGTAGAAGGAGACTTATACTAAGATACTTACACTGTGAAGGTTGAATATCATCTTTGCTTCCTCGTCGATCATACAATAAATAACTTTATTGTAATTTTGTACTCTTTGGTATCTGTATTATTTGTTTCAGTAAAATTTATGTTGAATTGTAGAGAGAAACTAATTATTCTTTTGTTGTTTTTATTTTGCAAGAAGCCCTTCTTCTGTTCCTTAAATGCTTCTTGCCAAGGCATGATTCTTTTCTTAAATTAGCAAAATGCAGTGCAATTAAAAATTACTTTGCCTGTGTGTGTGGAAGTTCAGGAAAATAGCCGGGCTCTTGTACCATGTGCTTGAGTGTAGTATTTAAACCTCTCATAGCTAGTCCAGCCATTCTCATACAATGTTTTCTAAGCTCTGCCATTAAAAAAAAAATCAGTATTAAACTAGTAGTTATAATATTTGATTATTTCAGTTTTATACAGTGGGACAAAAGCAGTTTAAAAGTTCTGGGCCATTCTGCAATGTCAAGATGACCCCAGTTGTCTGGAACTCTTGTATAGCGACTTTGTATGTCACACAACTGTATCGTTGTGTTTGCTCGATTCTTTTAAAAAAGGATTTCATACCTGCCTTGGTTCATCATAAATACTTTGCGTTATTTTCTGACAAAAATCAGTGCTTTTCTCTCATCATTTAGTTACTCCCATCTAATATCAAAGCTGCACAATCTCAGTTACTGTAGGCACAATATAACATTGGCAAACATGTTGGAACAATTTCCAGTAATTTTGCCTAAGTCTTAGAGGAAGTGAAAAGTAACGCAGATTAACTCAAAAGGCTACACATTCCCTTAGATGATAAGACTTAACACCAGAAGGTAATTGCAGTGAGCATCCAATAGCATTGAAATTTAATGTTCTTTTTCCCTCTTGTTGTAGTGAGAAAACTTATTTTCTGTATTTATTAGCCTCAACTGCAAAAATTCCAATTTTTATTCTAAACAAGGGTGTGTATCACAGCAGAGAAACAGAACTCTGTTCATATTAAACAAATATTATTTGGTCTCACTAACTGGTATTCCCCCCTCCTTATCTCCGGAGTTAAAATCTCAGTCTGCGTGATAACATCCTGGCAATAGCTCAGGGATGGCGAGTTATTTACGTTAATCGGAGCAGTAACACGTTTTAGCTATAGGGAATCTGGAGGGTGGAGTCAGCCCTTGTTTCTGGAGCTTGGCTTCCCTGGAGGTTGGCTTCCCTGCACCCTCACCGAGCTGTTCCCAGCAGCCGTGGCCTCCCGTGTGTTCCCTCGGGCACGGGCCGTTATCGCGGCTCTCCCCGCAGCCCCGCAGGGAGCTGAGCCTGGGCTGGCTGGCGTAGGCTTCGCCTGGCCCTGTCAACAGATTACAGCATTCCACTTGTTAGTACGAGCCGCCCAGCAGAAATGTTTTACTATTATGTTACTGGGCAATGATAAAGTTGGCAGGCTTTTTATGGTTAGGTCCTCAAAGTGGCAGTTCGTGTTTTAGCGATAAGGAGACAGAGCTTTGGATATCAGACCCAGACTTACTATCTCGAACAGTGAACTGTGGCTTAAATCCTTCCACAATGACAGGAACCCCATCTGGAGTGAAGGTTTCCAGAATCTTAAACGGGAGATACTGAGGCATTTTCCTTCCTCATGAGTCAAAGCAGAGTTAACCCCATTGTTATCAAAAATAAAAATAACCGGTCTCCAAGAGGAAGGATGCATTTTTATATTTAATTAAATCTCTTCCTTTATATTAGAACTTCAAGTATGATTTTCAGACAGACCCGGGAGCATGAATTGGCAGCATTAAAGCTTAGAAGCTTTCACTGGATTGTTTTAGAATATTGAAAGGAGCGCTAATGAAACTCTCATGCTGCAGGATTTAAAATTGCTCTAATTTTTTCTTAAAGCAGATGAACTAGACAGTACGTGTATTTATTTCTTGCAAGATCTTTCTTTGTAGTATCTAAATGCAGCTTCTAATCATTTCTTGGGCACGGTGTATACATGTTGACGCTGAGCACCATGTAAAGACATATTTGGATTCTATTTAGAGATTTCTGTGGGTTGCGGGGGTTAAGTGTAATCCAGATTATACAGTGTTAACATTTTTCCTACTGATATCAAAGTGTGGAAGGACTGGCAGGCTGACTTGTTAGGAAGGGCTGGGAGAGGGATAACAGGCTTCGACCTTGAGAGGCCGAGCAGCCGGCCCTTGTATGGCCAAGTCCCCGTCCGTGTCCAGCTGATTGGGCAGAGGAGCAGGATCGGTGCCGTGACAGGTGCTGGAGGAACCTACACCTGTTTTCCCCATATGCTGATTTAGTGATTACATTTTTGTGGGAGTTCCAGATACTGTGTGGGATACGTAGAGCAAGCCAAGAAACTTGAGAAGGAATTATAGCTTATGGTGACCTGTGATATTAAAGAATTTCAGACGGCGTAATTGAATTTTCAAGTGCTGCTTTAAAACTGAAATAGAAATAGGCAGTATTTTGCATATATATGAATACTGAGAAGGTCTTCTGTACTTTTTATTGTACTAAAAATTACTAAAAGTGCTGATCAATACTGTAGTCTAAAACAAAACATAGTTGTACTAAAAATTACTAAAAGTGCTGATCAATACAGCACTAAAACAAAACATAGTTTGTTTTTTTAATCAGAAATTCAGTGTGTTATGGAAACACAGCTTCTATAGGAAAACAAATGCAATTTCTTTTTGGTGCTGAGACTGTCAGCTTGCAGATTTCAAATCTTGAGGGTTTTTACTGTAAAATTAATATAATATAGATAATTTCTCACAATAAGAAAACACACAACCCCTCCTTATGCCTATATAGTCCTACTGCTGTCCTATGTACTGCTAATGTGTATTTGTTAAAAAATGTATATTCCTTTGAGGCTTCTTTAAAACATAAAAGATTTCTCCATAGGTAATATGTTAAATCTGGTTTTGTTATAAATGAGAACTTGTAAAGAAAGACTCCCAATTGTGTAATAGGGTGAAAAAAGAAAAACAACAAGGAATACAAATATCTTTCAAAATTTGGTTACGAGACCTGTGGTTTCACATCCTTTCTTTCAGTAGTTTATTTGTAATGCCTAGATTGCAGACAAGTTTGGTTGTTTTTTTTTTTCCAGGGGATGTTGATGTGAGTTCTCCATCAGAAAACAGGAAGTAGCCTAATAAAGCAGTTCCATCAAGTTAGTGTAAAGGAGTCTGAAAAAAACCTTATATTTAGCAACCTAAGTCATGTTAGAGAGGGATTATGTAATTTCTTTTTATACTTTTTTTTTGCAGTTCTTGTTATCATGCAGGATGACAGAACTGCAGGAAAATCCTGCCTTTATAAGCTGCTGAGAGTGTTACATATATTTGCGTACTGCGCTTTTTGAATTCAATCGAAAATTTTAGCCACTGTATTTCTCAGAATTTAATTGTATGCTCTTTAAAAATGTGAATATTAAAATTAGGATGCTAAAATAAATTTATTAAAGATCCAGTGAACTGGCTTTTAATTTATATTGACGACATTAACTCCTTTGGCATAGGCTTGAATGTTCCTTGTATGTCAGGTAACTTCATCAGCCAGTATCTAAGAATGGTTTTGCATAGAACAGTGGAGAAATGAAGTGGGTGGAGGTTAAAGTTACCCCTGAGATGGCACCTGGGAGAGTGTCTGCCTCTAGGTGAACCCTTTCTTTGTGTGTACTATGTCACTATTTTGAAAGACTAAACCTGTCTGTTGAACAGTGAGTTTTGTATGTGAAAGTTTCATGTAGTTTCAGTGGCTCTGAATGATTCAGTAGTATACAAAGCTTCTTGGCAAGTTAGTATGATTTGTATGTGAATTTTCCAATTGTATTTCAGACCTTAAGAAAGAAAGGCCTTAATGGTTGTGAGAGCCCTGATGCTGACGATTACTTTGAGCACAGTCCACTATCGGAGGACAGATTCAGCAAACTAAATGAAGATAGTGATTTTATTTTCAAGCGAGGCCCTGTAAGTACTTTTATTTTATCTCTACTTTTTATTTGTTGATCCTTTTTATTAACTTCATTATTTAGGCTCTGAACAAGAAGGAACACAGAGGGTGCGACAGCCCGGACCCTGACACTTCATATGTGCTCACGCCACATACAGAAGAAAAATATAAAAAAATTAATGAAGAGTTTGATAATATGATGCGGAATCATAAAATCGCAGTGAGTACTAAAGTATGGTTTGTGCTTCTATTACGTGCATGAGAATTTTCACAGTGTTTGCTTACCACTGAAAACCACTGCAAAGACAACAGGATGTAATGGTTTGAAAAGGGAATATATGCTTTTGAGGAAAAATGAGGTGCTGATACTTGATCTTGTTCAAATACATTTTATCTTAAAGAAAAGGATTTATCACTAGCTTCTCTCTTGCACACTCTGTTTTTCATACCTTGTGAACATGAGGTAACATTTCTAAATTTCAGGAACCTAGCTGCATTGCCTAATCCTACCTAAAACATTTTTATAAAGATAAATTTTGGTGTGGGATGTAGGATAGTTTATTTACATCTTGTAGCTCTTCATCTGTTAATCAAGATTTTGCAATATGTTACAAGCGGGCAAATAAAATTAGATTCATTTTTTCATCAAATCAGTATCAAATCATAAAAAACTGGTGCACAATGGGAGCCTCAAAAGATTGTCGTCTTACTCCTCTTGAAATTCCAACAGATATTTCCATGGGCACTGAAAAGATCTTTGAAAATTTTTGTCCCAACTGCCTAATCCATTTGTAGCCATAAGTCACTTGATTATTTCAGAAAGATGTGATCTCCTATCCCGTAGTGTGATCCAGAGGATCTTTTTTTTTTTAAGTGTTACCTGATTAAAAAAATGACACTTTCATTGCGTGAACGCCATGTATTTACTGGGCAGATGGTTCATGTTCTCAGTTTCATACGTTCTCTTCAGTTTTGGGGTCTAAGACTCTAGTGTAAAAGGACTCTTGGAAGAGAACTTTTGGACTCCAGACCTCAAGTAGTTTGAGGATAACAGTAGTGTGGATTTTGCATGTTTTTCATGACATTTAATTTCTATCTACAAAAAACAATTAATGTTGAGTATTAGAGGGGAAGTATTTTCTAAGAAAACTAATGCAGAGCTCTGCCACAGCCTTTAAAATTTTTAAACATTGCAAATCTTGTAGCAATTAAAGTAAATGGACTGGCTAGGTTAATCGGCACAGACCCTGGGGTAATTGAGTAGTGTGTCCCCACATGACTTGCTGATTACAGAATTTATTTCATTGTTCAGAGCAATAAGACGATCTCTGGGGAGTTAACAGCAAACTGACATTTGTGACACCCAGCATCACTTCTTTTAGCAAGTTCTTTATATTTGAATGAGGCCAATACCTTTTGTTCCTGATTTGTTTTGAAGCTTTTGATATTCAACACTTCTGTGTTGAGACATCATTGGGCCTCATGTCTCAGTATGATACAGTGAAATTGCTCTCCCTTGATTTTCTGTGGTCTTCATGAACAGCCTAAATTGTCTGTGTGAACAGCAGTGTAAATAAAAAAGGCAACATTATTTTTTTAGCCGTATAGTTCTGTATTTATAGCTTAATTCAGACCTGTTACGGTTTTATTTCCAGTACTTAAGGGCCTGTATAAGAACATAATTTCTTTTGTTCTAGTGCACTCATTACTGTCAAAGGATAGCAATGAGGCAAAGTGTGAAGAATTCAGTCATAACCAAATGAGTACCATAGATGGGCAGAGGCAGCCTTTATTGTAAGGTGTGGGGGGAAGCTGTCATTTATTACTTCTATATTGAGAAACCTACAGAAAAAAATGTTCCATCTGTTAGCTTCTAGCATTGTTTTAAGTGTACTTCAGGTATTTCAAGTTTAGTTTGAGTTACTTCACTGCATGCTGTTTAAAAAAAAAAAAAACCAACCTTTTTTTTTTTTTAAATACTAAATCGTTTCTTGAAGTAGTTTCCCGTGAAAACAAATACCAGTAGAGGTTGTCATTAGTTAGATACTGTGAATGATTTGCTAGCATTACGTCACTGTGCTTCATTACTTTTTCCTTCCATCTCTGCCAAAAATTGATAATTATTCTTAGGAATGCTTCGGCAGGGACACTGTCATTGGCTCTCAGTAGTACTAAGAGATTTTGGTTCTTGTAGAAAATGTATTATGCTCTTTTTGTTAGTATAGTTAATGTTGTATGTCTAATATTAATCAAAATTGTTGTACAGAAGTATTATTCTAAGTAAATTTTAAGCTGCACGTGATAAAAGTGCATCTTTTTAAGTATACTTGCTAGGTCATGAATGTTTGTTGTCTGCACTTGACCTCTAAATCAAAACTATTATCTCCCTGTTCTGTCAATAAATAGTACTGAATTTTTACCCTTAAATTGTACCTGTCACAGTTTTGTTTCCAGTAATTGTGAGAGTTGTGAAAGAAAATAGTCCCTTTTGTTTCAGAAACTCGTCACTGTCAAGGGATAGGAATGAGACAAAGGCCAGAGAAGTTAGTCATAAGCAAATAAGTACCATAGATGGGCAGGCATCTAAGCTTTTGATTCAAATAGTTGTTGAATAACAAACATATATACTTCAGAAAAGTAGTTGCCTTTTAAATAATGCTGTAAAAATTATAATTTTAAAAAATGAGATTTGCAAAAAAAAAGATGAAGTGGTTATTCCAAGTGGGAGTTTATGTAACGGCTCAGAATAATGAGTTGAAATGTTTAGATTCAAGGTACTGAACTTAGTGAATTTCTGTTTACTTTCTTTAGTCTGTTGAAAAAGAGAAAGTTTTATAAATTTATAGCAATACTTTGGCAAGGTTATTAATAGAAAATGTCATTACTAACTTTTTCTTCTTTGTGTAATAACTGACTTTATAATGTGCATGTTTATGCTTACATTTGGAAGGTGCAATTGTTCATTGATTTGTAGACATGTTTAACTTGTCGTTGCTTTGTAATAATCCAAATTAACTGATAAATTTGTACTTCTGAGCTTGCAAATTCATATGAATATCTTTTTATATTTTTTTTTTCTATTTGAACTTTCAGTATTTTAGAAGTTTGAGTAATTATTTTGGAACTGTATTTACGTGATGTATAAGTGTTTAACACCGTACTCTACAAAAAATGGATGTTTTAAAATTACTGTATGCTTGATATAGTTTAAAAACTAACAATTTTTTTTTTTTTCACTTGAGTAATTCTTGGAAAACTTTAATGTGTATTTTTATAATGTGCTGTTTCTGCAAATGTAGTTAATGCTAATGCTGTTGTCTTGTGTGTGTTCCTTGTCCTCTTTCCTCCAGCCTGGCTTGCCTGCTCAGAACTTCTCGATGTCGGTTACGGTTCCAGTGTCCAATCCCAACACTTTAACCTACAGTAACCCAGGGAGTTCCCTCGTATCCCCATCGCTGGCAGCCAGTTCATCGTTAACGGACACGACCATGCTCTCCCCACCTCAGACCACCCTGCATCGCAACGTCTCACCTGGGGCTCCTCAGAGACCACCAAGTACTGGCAACGCAGGTAAGATTTCAGTACCGTTGTGCTTTCCTTTCATATACCCTCTTTTTTTTTTTAAATTAAAAAACTCACAAACAAGCTAAAAAAACGAGTAACAAGTTCCTAGTAGTATCGGTGCATTTTTTTTTTTAATGACCTAAGTTTTTAAGTACAAAATATGTATGTATGATACTTTAATGAGAGCAAGTTAGTTTAATGCTCTGGCTTATTTTTATTAGGTGGAATGCTGGGGACAACTGACCTCACAGTGCCAAATGGAGCTGGTACCAGTCCAGTTGGTAAGTGTGGTGTCATGTTTTTGTTAAAAAATAGTATTGTGGTTTCGGTTTCACAGTTATTCAAAAGCAATTTTTTATTTTGACTCCTTTGCAAAAGGGGTTGTGGAAGAACAGAGGTCGTAATTTTCTTAGTTGCCTTTTAATTGTAAAGTCTTGTAAATTCTTATCAAGTGTTTAACTTTTTACTGCCTTGCCCCTTCCACTTCAGTACTATTTGCACTTTTTATTTAGTGGTTTCCAGTAGTAGCATGCTGCTCTTGCTTTTGTGTTTCTCTACAGCTGTAATTACAGCACTCTAAAGAGATCTTACATTCACAAAATTTCTTATTTTGTATAAAATTCACTGCACTTATTAATCTATTACAGTAAAGACAACTCAGCTGTGTTCTCAACTTTAGTATTCACAAGACCTGGATGTTTGATACTGGTTGTGGTGCCAATCAAAATGAAGAAAATACAGACCGTATTGTTTGTATTGCCATGTGTATCTTGCTAATTATTTTCTAGCAGTTACACAAAGAAAGCAATAAATTTTGGAAGCTGATCGCTAGGTTCTGTCTTAATTTTGGAAGATGATCAGAAATTCTTTCAAAAACAAATTGGCGATCTTGCCAAAAATAAAATTAACAGTATTTTTTTTTATCTTCAGTAAAAAGATACGGTAGCACTTTTTCATTTAAATAATGTTTTGTCTCCCCAAACAAAATCTGGTGATCTGATAAAAGGGCAGGCAACCACTGAAATTTGTAACACTACGAAAGACAAAATAAATGATGGTTCACCCAATTCCTTGATGTTCCTTCCATTCCTTAAGATGTCTTGGTAATTGAAGGTCAATTTTGGAAATACGTGTAACTCGCCGTGGTATGTGTTCATAGCAGGGAATTAGAGAAGCAACTGTTGACCTTTCAGTATTTGCCCACTGGCAAATTGTGGCAACTGGGGAAAAGTTCTTTGAACACAAAGTCAGGCAATTGAATTTATGAATAGAAAATGCTGCAACTACAAGGCTGAAAGCACAGGATTGACTTTCCACTCTTTATCCATTCTTTGGCCATGTGCAGCAAAGATATAAAATATTAAAAGTGTGGTTTCTATTGGGTAAGCAGGATTTTAAATGGAGGAAACTTCCTCAGTTGGAGAAAGATGACTATTTTTAGAAACTGTGGAGGTCAGGTGTTGATTTCCATAGTATTTCTCAATTCAGACTAAATAAGTTTATTATCAAGCTGTTTCAGGCCTCTTTTCCCAAATCAGGCTTTAGTAACAGCAGCCTCAGACTTAACTCCTCCTTTCAAGAAGCGAATAAAACAGTTGTTTACAGCAGTTGCTATAGAATATTAAACTCTAGAAATACCCAGTTACAGCAGCTTGGTGAACATATTTAATGCAGCAAAATGTTTTCCTTCTTGCATTTATTAATAGTTTATGTGAAAAGTCAAAATGCATCGCTTATCTCTTACTTTCCAGAACATCGCACCCAAAATGTTATACATATACCCACTCACTTCTAGAAAGATTTTTCATGCAAGTAAGAGTTGTGGCTGTACAGGAACAGTGGAACATCTATAAGTACCTCTAGCAAAACTCAAATACTCGGTTAACACCAGAATGCTAAGCCACAGAGTACCCAAAGCTGTCAGAGCTCCACTTCCTACTAGAATATGGTGTGGCTTCTTTTAAATACTGTTAGGTGCACAGTAACTTTCTCAATTGCAACCAAAATCAAGACACTATACAGAACCAGATTAAGTAAATCTGTAACTTGTCAATTTGAGCTTGACAGCTGCCATCGAAGTGTATCAAGTTAATTATGTCTGCAGACAACAATGGGTTTAGTTTCTTGCTACGTTTATGGTAGAATTCACTTTAAGCCCCCATATTTTCTTCTTTTAGCTTTCAGTCTTTTCTTTTAAACTTCTCAGGAATGGAGAATTCTCCTATGGATATAGTTGTGACAGGTCACGTGTCAATTTTGCAGCTCTCCAGTTATAGGAGAGATGTCATAAGATAAAGATGGAGTACTGGCATACCTGTATTCCCAGATATTCTTAGATATAAAGGAAAACCTCAAGTCTTGCTCAACATTAGGAAGTTTTGAGCATTGGAGATTTTGTTCTCTTTTCATTGAAAGATACTTATACGCCTTTATCTCTGAGTAAAAAGCAAGTAGTGGTTATCTTGCATTGTTGGGACACAGTTCAAACAAAGATGTTGCATAAAATGGCTCATGTTCAGTTCACATGAATCTCTTTCTCAAGTCCTGTGTAACTTCATTGGAATAGATATGATTTGCTTTAGCAGTCGATCTGCCAACTTAACAGTTTTTCTCTGGAAAATAACTGAGTAAAAATATCTGTGTGTTGTAACAAAGATTGGTAGGTGGGTTTTTTTGATGTCTAGAGCAGAAAAATTTGTGATTATTTTATAATAATGAGAGCTTATTTCACATGCAGCTGTCATAACCCTAAAAAAGCATTTTTATTTTTAAATACTTTTAAAATTTTACCCACCACATATAAAACACTTGCTGAAATTTTTATGTGGCAAGTATATCAGTTTTGAGAGGGGAAAAATTTCCAGTGACCACATATAAAACACTTGCTGAAATTTTTACGTGGCAAGTATATCAGTTTTGAGAGGGGAGAAATTTCCAGTGTTAAAAATACTGTTTGCTTTTGAGCTAATTGGTTTTTTCCTGTTAATTAGATCAAATGTTTTGGAACTAGAATTTTCATGATCCTGTTGCCCATGGCCAGTGTAAAACCCTGTTCAGTTTGTGATCAGCATCTAATATGCTTCAAGAATCTCATATCACCAGGATGTGTACATCTTGCTATTTGTTGTCAACATCATCATGGCTTGAGCACATGCTGGATGTCTGTATTACCCCTTTCAAAAGGCTGTGGATTCTAATTCGGCCAAGTATCACCTCGCTTGCTCTGAGTACCCAAATATGGGGGAGAGTTTCTTTGACTTGGAACTGAAAGGACTTGATGGATGGATCATTTTCTGATTTGTCATGAGGAGATTTGCTTCGCTGTGTTCCAGTAGATTCAGTATTATACCTTGAATAATCCAGAAGTTGCCAATGAAGTGCACTTTCAGTGAAGTTGTCCCATCCTTGAGTACTCTGTGATTCAAAAGGGCTCAAAAGAAGTATCATTGTTACCCAATCCCTACTTTTTCTTCTGTAACTTTCATATATGGTGTTGAGCTAGAACCATGCAAAGGATCTGAACTGCTTTCATTGCCACGGTTGCATGAAAACCATGAACCCTGAGACCTTTGGACAAAGATGAGCTCCCTAAGTTCTTCCCAGTCATAAGTGATTTTGAAGGAGCCGTTGGAAGTAGAGGTTCTTTATGATTTTGCAAGGGCACAACAGTATCTGTCTATACTACATCAGTGAAGTAACTCTTCTAATCAGTAATGCAGCTTATGGACCCAGTTAATCTTCAGGGAAATTAGCTTTCCTCTTATAATTTTATCATCAGGAGAACAGATAAGAAAGTTCTAGTCTTCTTGAGTACTGAACTCCTCTGTGTTCCAAAGCTGTATCTTCTCTAATGTGCTCACTAATCTTCAGATTCAGAGAATGTTCAGTAACTTTAGGAATATTGAATTTCTTTGGAATAGAGCTGAAGGATATACCAGCTTGAAAAACTGCCTTTCTCTGATCTTTAGGATTACACAGGTAAATACAACACTCAGTGTTTGACCCTTCTCCAAGGAAAAAGTTGAAGGATCCTTGAAGAACACTGAGAACAGCCTTTTTAGTCTTAGAAGCTTCCAAGCTTTCCTGGAGGAAAAGGAGGACTGAAATGGACTGCAGACCAGCTGGTTCACAGGGCTGCAGGCTGAACCCTTTTCCTTTGCTAGATGCTGTCAGCACATAACAAAGTTTGATCCATCCATCATCCTCTGATTAGATCAGCTCGAAGTGAGCTGAGATCAGCATAAAAAATATGCTGGTAGAAGAAAGCATTTGAGGTGTCTTTATATATATATATATATTTGTAGCAAGATCTCCTTGGAAACCACCCATCCACATGTGGTCTGTCCAGCCCCTGAACTCCCCTTAGATTTTAGTTGAAATTCATATATGATGTATGTTCATTGTCTTACCATAACTTCTGATTTACTAAGAGGTACAAGACAATTCTTGTTCGAATGTGCCACACATAGCAAATTATCACTCTCCCAGCTGGATTAAAGTATTGCAGTATATGTTTTTGTGAAATCTCAACACTTGCATAATGTCACCTTGCCCAGGCTACAACAGTGCACATCCACAGATGTTCTAAACATAACAGTTCTGCTGGTGGTTCTTTACCATGCTTTACATTGACTTTGTATAGATACATAAAAATGAACAAGTTCAGAAAGTAGGACTCTGCTTTCATTAACTGTGAACTATTTAGTTGACAAAAGACCTTAAAGGCATTCAATTGCCACTGCTAATGTTCCACACAAAGTTGAATAACATTTAAATACAAAAGCATTATGCCTTTGTTTTAGGCTTGCTGCTGCATTTTGAATAATAACCCTTGTCTTGAAGAAGGCCCATTTAAAATCTAAATATCCTTGAAAATTGTCTCCTTTTATGTAACTTTAAGAAAAAAAGATTTTCCATCAACCTGGGAAATGAGTTTTTCAGTTTAGTAACATGAGTAAGCGTTCCCTTGACATTTAGTCATGTGTATTTCTTTTTGCTTGTTTTAATATCTAAAGTACTGTCTTAGAAGTATAAACCTTACATCAGGCATTCCAAAATCTTGCATTACTGTCAAAGGAATACTTTAATTCTAATCACAGTATTATCTGAAGTATTGATTTGTAAAGATCAGCAGAAGTACATTTATTTCAGCTATTTTCTTGAGATGGTATAGTAAAATCTTTCCAAAGCTAGAGGGGACTTAGGCTTTTTGAAATTATGGTAGAATCGACAGTGGTTTCTGTGCAAAGCTGAAAGTGCTATGAACTGCAAATGCTGGTGTTTGTTTTTTTCCTAGCTTCCACTTAAAGCTGTTGTACTAAAAAAAACTAAAATAGATTGAGCAGCTAATGCACATAGAAATGCTATTGTGGTATTAGCATGTAATACATTTGTTCCCCCACCCCCTCCAGGTCCTGTGTGTAAATGTTTTTCTTAAATAGATTTTATCTGGTCCTCTAGACACATAGTGAATCGATGGCTTATTGCAAACACAATTTCCTGTTGACTTCTAGTTGTGTGACATTTGTTGGGTTGTATGATGTCACTTGAGGTATAAATATTTGTTTACTACTACTCTTATTTTTGCTTAATCTTATCTTGTTTAGCTGCTTGCCTTCAATATTCTTCCAAAACTGTTCAGTTTCTCCAAAGGTGAACCACAAAAAAAGATTAATGGCATCAATGACTATAATTTATTCCTTGAGTAGTAATAAGTACATGGAGTACTTTCCAGCCACATGTGTTCATTGTTTCAGCTGATGTGATTTATATAGTGAAATATGAGTCTGGCTCATGTAATTGCATGCTACGTCTTGGGCTGCAGGACAATAAATGAGATTAAGCTGCATTACGTTTCTGAAGACAGAATATACAGTTGTTAAAATGGGTGGGTTTTAACATTTAGCTTCAGAAAAGAAGTTATTTCAAAATGAAACATTTTCTGACTAAACAAGAAGTAGGCTAATGTACGTTGGCAATGTTTGTTATCATAAAATCTAATTAATTTATGATTCATATAATTAAGAGCTTATCATCTTTGCATTGGTGTCTGTTTTACAAATAAGTGTTTCAAAAAGGCTTTCATAGTCTGTTTTAAAGAATTGGAGTTGAATAAGTAAAAGCAGTAGAATAGTCTGTTTTAAAGAATTGGAGTTGAATAAAACTTCCGATGAAAGTAAAAGCAGTAGGCTTGTTTTACATTTACATACAATTTTATATTGTTCCCATTTTTCAGTATGATAGTATTTTTAAACATAAAGTAATTGTATTTGGGAAAGATCTATAGTGGGTGGGGTAGATACAATTTCAGTATTATACAAAATAGTAAGTAGAATTTATGGGGTTATTAAAGCCTCAGTTTGGCAAACTGCCGTATAGTTGCATCATCCTGTAATCATTATCTTTTTCTGGCTCCTGACCTTACTCTAAGAAATACCATGCTTTTAGTTATCCTTTCACTCTTCACTTGTAATTTGATTTTCTTATTAGATCATTAACAGGAAAAAAGGCTTTAAGTTTCATATTAAGAATGAATATTCTACAGCCTTATTGCAGCCCCAGCATATGACTTTTCAAATAATCAATATAGATACTTGAGTGTTTGCTAAATGTTCAATGCCTGTTGTTTATAACAAAGGGCTGTGATTAGATTAATACCCATAGTATTGCACACTTAAAACATTTATTTTTTTTTGTTTCTCCCGTTCTTAGTATATTTTTCTAAGCGCTCATTTTAAGAAATGCTCAGCCTTTTGTCAGAACAAATGCTCCGACTCTGCCCTGCTGCTGCAGAGAAGCAATGGCAAGGACTTTGTTGTTTTTGACAGCACCACTGAAAGCATGAAATGTTTCTGAAGGGTTGGCAGAGCCTTGTAATAAGGGCTGCAGGAAATGACTCTATTGGGTGTGGAAGAAAGACACTGTCCAGATTTAACACACCAGCTACCGAAATACTTGAAAACAGAGGACAGGAAATGGTATCATAGGATAGACTAAAATGCTATACAGAACTTCATTGTTTATACAAAGTGTTATTGTTCTGAAGCTTAAATTCAGCTCAGAGCACCGCAGCTTTGACATATGAAAGGTAACACTGACAGCCTAGTAAGTAATAAAATGCTATGTATTAGATTAAAGCCCAGGCTTTACTTTTTTTTTAACAGTAAGTTCTTTAAATGTTCTGGCACTTTTGATAAAAATGGAAGATACCGTTACAATTTTGTAGATATCATTTGGTGAAAGCTATGTTACTTTCTAATAATTTTTCCTCCCTCACATCTGCTTCAAATCTCCTTAATTTTTACTCTTTGTCCATTGGGCAAGATTTGTCTTGCGATATGATGCTATGCAGGCTATGCATTTAAACTAATGTTTAAACTCATTTATAATGGATAGGTATTGATGCATAACTGTATTTAACAAAACTATGATTCTATGAAAGCTGTCTCACAGTTTCAGGAACCTTAGGGACAGCACAGAACTGAATTTCTCCTTTTTGGTTGGTTGATTTTTCTGTGTGACCGAGCTGTGGCGAGGTGTCTCCTAGCAGTTAAGAGTATATTTAGCTCTAGTACGTATTCTCAGCTTCAGCCAAACTTCCCAGTCCCTCTAACTACATTTCATCGCTAACCTAGAAGCATCCCAATAAATTCTGCTGTTTTCTGCAGAGGAATGTAGATGATTTACTCATGAAATGAGGGTTTGCTGTGGTTTTTCATACAGAAGGAAGAATGTTGATATAAAAAGCTTTTTCTTCATTCTGCTGTGTTCCTTCTTTCCCTTATAACTTCTGAGTTAAATGGTAGAGTTCTCAGAAAAGGTATTCCCATACCTCCCATACAAATGCTTCAGGAAAATACTAAATTAGTATAACTCCTCCTTGCTCAGCTAGCCTTGAAAAACTCAAGGGACATATCAGATCATCCATTTATGGTCAGGTTTTGGCACAGTAGGTAGTCCACAAAGAAAGTAAATTGTGAATTTGAAATCCTGCCTTTAAAGTTGTGAATTTACTGCTCATCCATATGTCAAAGAGAATAATGTGGCTGCAAATTCCCGATTAGTAAATTCTACTTCCTTACTTTTTTTTCTTTAAAAACATTTAGCAATAACTTATTTTCCAAAAGACCTTTATAAATCTCAGTAGAATATCTTCAGATCAGCACAAGAACCTTTTTATAATTCTTAGATTAATCTTTGCTTTTTTCATTTCTGATAAAATGATACGTAGGGTTCCATTTATGGTAGACAGGGAAAAGGACTGCATTTGGCAGTTCCCCCACCATGTAACGAGGACCAGTAGTAATGGAGGAGGCTTCCTCTTTAGCATCCTGGTGAATTCACACCCAGGTTCTCACATGCTGGAGAAGAATTTTATCAGTCACCTTCACAAAGTGTTGCGCTGTTACTGATACGTGTTATTGTTCTTCGTTCTTGCTAAGCTTTTAAAGGCATTAAAAATTTTGCTATAGAAGGTAGAATCTGACACTGACAACTTTCTTATTTTAATTGCTTTTAGATTAATATGTACTTAATGTAATAAAATTGGATTGGGCATAGGGGCCTATTCAAATTAGAATAATAATACAAAATTCGTGCCAGTGTGGCGCTACAGGCTATTAGAATAGGAGACAGTGAACTTTGTGCAACAGACCTTTCCCTGAATTGTGACTATAAAGGCTGCTTTCAGAACTGCTACGTTAGTATAAACATGATCTTACTATGAATTGTATTTATTTATACGCACACATACACAAGTTCTGTAGTGTGAACTATAGGCTTCCCTGTTGTGAAATTCCCCTTGCTTAACAACTTTTTTTTCATTTGCAACTGAATAAGGTGTGTGTGTGTTGGGAATTGTTGCTATAAATATGATAAAGTCATTGGAACGTGGCTTTAATTTTTTTTTTTCAGAGAATTACATTTTTAGTGAACATGATTGGTGCTTTTGTCAGTAGAAGCCAGGACTTGAGGGCTTTGGCTTGTCTAATTCTACTTAGAATAAGTATCAGGAGTAAGGTAGAGAAAGACCTTTGTAAAACAAATTGATGGGTATAAATGATGTGTATATCTGTGTCCAGAGCTTGGAATGAATTTGAAGGGAAAGAATTTATTCCCCTTGTTGCTAAATATAATGTATTTTTGAGACCAAAATTAATTTTGAGAATAGATACTAGAGTCCTGCAGATCTTGCAGATATTTGAAGAATATATTTAGAAATAGAGACTTTAAGAGCTGATTTTTATTCTCACAGGCAACAATTCCGTATAGTTCATGTTCTGTGAGGGTGAGGATGAAGTGGGATTGTGCAAAAGCACATACTTTTTTGCAAGCTCAGCCTGGAGGAACTTCAAAGGGCAAAATGAAAAAGCACAACAGATGTTATTAGAAATAGTTCTTTGACAATATGCTCTTCTCAGCGTTTAAGCTGCCACAGTGTGCCCTTGAGGTGCTATTACCTTTGTATATTGATCTTCTGATGAAAGCGGTTTTTGTTTGTTCGATTATTCAATACTGCGCCTCTTGTGAGAAGCTTGTTATTGGAAGTTTTACAAAAGAAATATTTTGTAGGTTCTACACGTGCACCAAAATTTTGTATTGCTACTTCTCTTCAGTCTTACGAAACATTTGTTTTTCCTCTTTCAGGAAATGGGTTTGTGAATTCTCGAGCTTCACCGAGTCTACTTGGAACTACTGGTGGTGGGAATGGCTTGGGCAAAGTCATGCCTACAAAGTCTCCACCTCCACCCGGAGGTGGAAATCTTGGAATGAACAATCGCAAACCTGACCTCCGTGTCGTCATCCCACCCTCCAGCAAGGGTATGATGCCGCCACTGGTAAGTTAAAACATTTATTCTATGACTGGCTTTGTAAAAATGAAGTATTCTGTCCACATGCACAGGGAGCAATCTCATCTGCTTAACGTAGGTTACAGTAAAGAAAGGTGTTTGTGTCCTGAAATTTCACTAATGAAAATCTAAGTTCTAAGTTGTTACCTTGGGAGAAGTTAATTTTGTAATCTTTTTTTTTTTTAAAGTGTAAAAGTTTAAAATATTAAGTCTGGCCTAAAGGCAGTTAGAGTGCAATTCTAGAGACATAGATTGGGATTTTGTTTTGATTTGACATCTCACTGGCTTGGTACCGAGAATTCTGTTGGTTTGGAGGATGTGGGCTTTAAAAAGGGTTATGCATTATTCTGTGGAGGAATGGCTGACCTTATTGATGTGAACTGTATTAACGTGCCCTAAAGCACATTTCGTACCTGGTTTTCCTGGGTCATAATGGTTGTGGGATATAAAATGTAGCTTCAGTGGTAATGAAAGGCTTGTTTGATGTGGTGTGCTGGAATGCAGTCTTGTGTGTCCTATGGTGGATGTTGTGTCTTCAGTGGAGGCATAAAAGAGTCATGAGGATCAGGCTCAGTTCCTATTAGTGTGCTTTTCAGTACTACTGTGCAGATTGGCATGTTGGTAGCAATGTTTGTTCAGCCTGGATTTGGAATAGCACGCCAGTTTCGTGTCAGGCATGAGGCAACCACAGCATTGGGACTGGAACAGGTCTTTCAGGAAGAGTTACTCTATTTTTCCTTTAATTTGGTTGGCCAGATCCTTTGGTCCTGGTCTTTCACTGTCATGTAGAAATTTTAAACGTCTGTGTGTACATTTTCTGTATGTGGAAGAATGAACCATAACCAAGAGTAGCAGGATATAAACAATACAAGTACTCAGTGTGTAATTCTTATTTGTTTTTAAGTTACCACAAGTGCTTACATTTGTTACTGGTATTCATGATGAATAATACAAAATTAATCCAAGTAACAAAAGCTATAATTATCCTCAGAGTAAATGATTCTTGAAGTGTTATTTTTTTCTAGGAATACTGAAGTGTAGAAGACACAGGAAATAGACTGGCTGATTATTAAAGTGAAAATTAGGCTTTTAAATTAATTAGAAATAAGATGTAAGAAGAGGATCTTGTTAATGCAGTTGTTCCAATGTTAGTAGTGTAGGTACCTATTTACTGTTGTGGCATTAAGAACAATGAGGATCTTGTTAATGCAGTTGTTCCAATGTTGTAGTGTAGGTACCTATTTACTGTTGCGGCGTTAAGAGCAATATAATATTCAACTTAGATTTTGTCTCTTTCTTTGAGGAAATTGCAAAGAGATTTCAGAGTAGAGGTGCTGGGATGGTGTGATGATTGTATGTGAAAAATATTTTGTTTCTGAGTGGATGTTTATTGGATCAGTCCAGCCAGAAACTGCTGTGCTCCTTATCTCCATGTGTTGTCAATGTGTAGCTGTGTCCTTGTTTTAACTAAGCTCTTTCTGCACAAGTTTTGCCAAAGTGTGTGTTCTTTCAGTATGGTATTTTTTTAACTGACCCGAATTATGTAAAATATTATGCTTCCTAGTAGTATTATTTACAGAATTGGGTGGAAAATTCACATTGGTAATTAAAACATAGAAAAATCCTGAAGCAGAAACGTGACTTTTTCTTTCATTTTTGAAAGCAATGCTATTTTTAGTAACTGTGTTATCCCTCTTGTTTGCTGAGTACAGTCGGAGGAGGATGAATTGGAGTTGGTGAGTTTGGGCTACTGTTTGATGAGAGAGAGCAAGATGCTGAAAATGTCTCTTACTACAGTTTTAACTGTAGTTTCGTTAAATGTTTTAAATAATTCCAGTGTTCCCTTGGTAGCAGACAAAAATACATTTGTTTTATCAAACTCAAAACCCGACCAAGTTGAAAACACATCCAAAGTCTAGTGCTTTCCATTTGTAAACTTCTATATTTTTTTTTTCCTGAAAATATTTCTGTTTTTCTTGGAGGGAACATTGGAAAAGAGCCTTACAGAGTAACTGTCCATGTGTATAGGATATTTACTGTCCTTTATCTAAAATATAAATAAGCACTTATCATCCCCTCAATTATTGGCGTATTTTTAGGAAGTGGCTTCACTCATGAAGTTCTTCAGATTGTAACACAAGCCCTGTATTACTTCTCTTATTTTCAAGGAGATTACATCATTGCTGGTGAGGTCACCTTTTTGGAGTTTAGAATTATTTCATCCTGCGTGAGATTATCAAACCACAGGGGTGTTCCCTGTTTACCAAAAGGAATAGAGAATTGCAGATGAATAATTCTACCTTTTTTCCAGTGGAAAGATATTCTGCTTTTGAAAGGAAACTCTTGGGATTTGTGTGTTTTCTATTTTTTCCAAAAGGTTTTAACATTTGGCATTCTGTCTGGAAAATAACGTAAGGCTAAAATAATTCATAACTTATTTTTAGAGCAATTTGCAAATTGTTTAGCTGCTGTAGCACAAACCATGCAGAAGATGCTGCATCAGAGTGTGATTGCAAAGACACACAAAGAAATCTGCCTATTACATACCTTGATTTGGTTTGGAACATGGACCTGTTGCTAATATGAGGCTCTAATTGCATGAAAGCATGGAAAATGTAGTGAATTAGATATATTTCTTGATAAATGCATGCTGTTGGTTGTTTTTTACCTTAAACGTGAGCAATAGATTTAAAAAAGTAAGGTGAAATGATTTTTTGAAAGTCAATGTTTGTTTTTAAGATTTATTGGAATGACTTGCAGTTATAAGCAGCTGTCATGCATGTTCTTCTCACCTTTATAGACTGTCTGGTTTCCGATGCAAGAAATAGAGCTTTAATTCAATGTAAAAACACTTAATCAAAATAGCGTTGCAATTGGAATTATGCAAAAGCACTTGAGTTAAGGTATTCCTACCTGCTAAAAATTGCTACGCTCTCTGCAGTGGGAAAGAGTGGGATTTGCTGAGGGTGGGTGGATTTCCAGCTGCTGCGTGGAGCGTGGGCCCTCTAGTGGTTTTAAAACCTGGGCTCCTCTGCTAGAAGAAAGCTCACACAAAGAAAATGTAGTAGTGGCTTCCTTAAACGTGGTAAAGAAATATGAAGTACACCTGCAATGTTACATCTCTTCTTAGGCTAATTTCTGATGCTAATGCCAGTGCCCGAAAGGAGATCCAAATCATGTCTCCAAACATCCATGCTGTGTGGCTGGAACTGAGCATTGACTATGAGAAACAGATAGGAACAGTAGCATAGCATGAAATAAAGATATTGGATTCTTCCTGTTACTACTATAATTTGCACCAGTTTAAAAAATAATTAAAAAAAAATCCTGAAAATTGTCGTGAATGTTTGGCTGAATCTCAGAGTGCAACAAATATTAGACACACCTAAATATTTCTTGGTGTCTTTTTATAGCTGAGTGTTCAGGAATTATATTCAGAAAGAAACTACCTCTAAAACCCACCTTTATTAGCCACTGTAAAAAAAAAAAAAAAAAAAAATCCCATGGGGAAATCCTTTGGTCTGGATTGTTTCCCAGTATCCTCCTTTAACTTTTCCATGATACAGTAATCCCAACTTCATAGGCTGCCCTCCAAGATAGCTTTGGAAAAAGGTCAGTTCCTGACAGATACAAAAATCAGCTCTAATAACTTATCTTTATGCCAGATAAAGTTGGTCTAGTGGAGATTTTCAGAAGTACATAAGTGATTTAAAGGGATAAATTATACAGAAAATCAGCGGGACTTTCTCTGGGAGCTCTGAAAGCAGAATTGGGTGCATTGGTGGAATAAATGCCAGGGAGCCTCCTGGTTCTTACAGGGCTCCGAGGTGGGTGTTCCACAGCAGCCGGACAGCACAGAGATCAGAAGCTGGCAGCCAGTGGAAGGTTGTAGCTAATTATAATTTGGAAGCTGTGGTACACTTCTTTCTTTAAACTGGAAAGATACAGGCCAAGGATTGATAGCCCTCAATTCACCTTCACGGGTTTAAGCTTAAAATTGAACAGAGCCGTGTTTCTCTACCTGTTCATTCCGTTATTATCAAGGAATCCTGCATTTTTAATGCTGCTCACTCTCGCAGGATCAGAGTGGAGGAAAAAAATCTAGTGCTGCAGATACTGAAATACTTGTATAGCTGTCTGAAATGAGGAAAAAATCAGTAGTAGCTTCAATCTTTTAAAGCTAGGAAATGAAACGCTACCAAATAGATGATAACCTGCTACTTTTGTAGTAATGTTTTTTCAGAGATAGAGAGCACCTTGCTTTAAAAATCTATTTTCAGCCGTTTGAAATCTAGCTCCCTTCATTAGAGATGGGTCTGTAAGAATGTAGAAACACGGAATGTAGAGACTCCTGCTACTTCTAGTATTTCAAAGACTTCTGTAGGTGAAACTAAGTAGCTATTTTTTAAAAATAAATAAAAAAAAAATGTAGCATTTCCTGTTTTTGACAGTATCTGGCCTGGCCAAATGCTAGTGAACTTCTTGTGCTGAAGAAAGGTTTAGAGTTGCCTCCATGAAGAGCAGCGTGTTCTGTGCCAGCAGCTTTGCTGTCTGGTGGCATTCACCACGGTGTTTAACACAAGGTTTTCTGAACAGCAAATCTGGTGGAAGAGCTTAATTTGAGTGATGTGTTTGCTACAGATGTTCATTCTGTTATTAAAAAGCCACCTTGAGCCTCCAGTTAGAGCAGATAATCTGAGACAATCTAGTTTAGCCATTTTTCCTGTCAGAAAGCACGGTTGCTCTGTGTGAACTCAAATGTCATTTGCTTTGAAACATATCTGCATTATAGCAAGTACTCTCTCAGTTTCTCAGGAACCATGGGAACAGCAAGATTATTTTATCACCGAGGTCTTATCAACACAAATTTAGAAGATCTCTGTGTTCCTTTCAGGACAGGTGTAGTCAGCACAGTGTCAAAACTGGCAGCTCAAATTTTGAAAATTGGATAAACAACTGGGAAGTGGGAGACTTTTCTGGTGGAACTGCATCTCACCATCTGCACTAAAACCCCTTCAAAAAACTAGGACTAAAAGCTCTTAAATCACTTAAGAACTTCTGAGAATTGTTGTGTATATCCCTAGGAAATTGCATTTATTTTTATGTTCTAGAACTCTAACACTATTGAAATCTGCATGCACGGGAAACGGACCAGTGAGCCTTAATTAATTCTTCATTTCAGTTTGCAAAGATCATTTGGGTTGTCTTGAAATGTTTTGGCTTGTTTAGAAAATCTGTCCTGACAAAAAAGGATGTATTCCTAACTGAAAAATAAAGCAAAGAAACACATTTTAATTGAATGCTATTTTTATATTAGCGCTTGATTTTTCCATTGTTCTAACTGATATCACAAGACATGCTGTTATTTTTAATCATTTATAGAATACCCAAAGGATAAGTAGTTCTCAGTCGACACAGCCTCTTGCTACCCCTGTGGTGTCTGTGACAACTCCAAGCTTGCCTCCGCAGGGACTGGTGTACTCGGCCATGCCTACTGCCTACAACACTGGTAAGCTCTCTCTTCAATAAGTGGCTCCATTTGTCAGATGTACGAGGCTTTTGTGAGTCATAAGCCCAGAAAATTTGCATTTCTGTGACACTTCACTTTATTTTCCTATACAGTTCAAATGAAGGCTCTTATTCATCAGAAATGAGCCTTTAGCTTGTAAAATGTGTAAATGTTGAGACTTAAATCAGGAAGCAGCTTTCAGTCAGTCGGGCTGTGCGCAGCTGAACACAGAGACACAGTGAAACGCGTTGCTTACAGCACTAGTAGTCAAGTATCCATCAGAGAAATGAAATATGTCTCACATTTAAGCAATAGTTGATACTTCAGAGCACACTGTCCCTTTTGTTCCCCTTGGCTCAGTTCCAACAGCAGGAGGGAATCGGATTCTACAGGGCCTTTCAATTTAGAAGAAAGCCCTGATGTACAAAGCCCAGACAGGGCCTTCTCCTCTTCAGTAGCTTTATGGAGGGTGAGGTGGGGACTCGGGGGAAGGCGTTGTCAGCATTTCACCATTGCCAGTCTCTGTTATCTGAAAGACTTTAAAACTACTTTTATCCAAGATGGGTATGTTCCAAGGGATCTGGTAATAGAAGTGCTAATCGATTTGCCACTTTGGAGAGTAGCTCATGATGAGGTGCCTCCTGCTTTGTCTCCATACCAATAGAGTTAATTTTGACTTTGATCTCAAGGTTCTCTATTTGTTACAGACCCTGTATGTAATCAGTGAAGGAATTTTTTTAATCATTTCCTTGAAAGGCTGCAGCCTTGATGGTGTCGAGTTGATTACTGTTGATCTGTGATGCATAGTTAAGTTCTCAAATGTACCTGCAGAGAAACTACCCTGCAGACAACGTCAATAAATTTTGTAAGTCAGAGTTAAACCAGCTATTGGTTAAAACCAAAAAGGAAAACAGTGGAAATAATTCCTCAGTTGCTGTTCTTTTTAGGGAAAGTCTAACTAAGATGTTCAAATGTAAGTGCTATAATTTGTTAAAACAGGAGTTTCGGAATGGGGGACCACTGTGGTGGCAGTGTTAGTATTTAAGCTTATTTGGTAGGCTTTCAGGTTTAAAAAATAAAATAAATAAGCATTTGCCTCTCTCTTGCAGTGATAGATCTTAGGAACTGAGCTACACTAGAGAGTTTCCTTGTCTGGCTGCTCAGCACTGGCTCTCTGGCTGGGTAGAAGAGCCTGATGGGGTTCTTCTTTCTATCGATCTAGGGAGATTCCCTGGTAGCGTCTCTTCCCTGGACCTAATGTGCTTATTCTTGGGCAAAGGTCAGGACAAATTAAAGAAATGTTCAAGGTTTGTAGAAAATGGCCAAAACCAGAGTAACACAGAGGTTTTGTAATTTTTGTAGAAAATGGCCAAAACCAGAGTAACAGAGGTTTTGTAATTTTTGTTTCCTGCAAGGAGGGACACGTCAGGAGTCTACAGTGTTGGAAGATGGAATAGGTAGAGTAACCATCCATTCACAATCATTTTCCTCCCCAAAAATACGGGGTTTTATACGTTTTCTACACTTTCTTTAGATTTGAAAATCTTCAGTTTTTAGTTAGACTTGTAGCCATCTTCCAGCAAAACAACTCATGTCTTTTTGTATCTTTTAGTATCTATGTGCTCGTTAACTGACATTTATTACCCTTCAGCAAGGTTCTGTTTGCCTCGGAGGCGCTGCCCCAGGCAGTTCTGGGCATGCAGGTTTTGAGAAGGGCTGTTTAGTCATCAGTGACAGTAAATATTTATACTGTGGTAGCACCCAACTAAATTGTTCAACATTTATGCAAATGATCAACTACCCCGAGGAGGGGTGGTTAAAGTCTAAAGAAATGAATGAAGGAAGAGCTGGGGCTGCAGTAACAGCGTAATGAGCAGAGTGACGAATTGTGCTTGGTGACTTGTTTTGGATTATCAGCTTAAATATGACGTTGCTGGACATACAGATCTGGATTTGATACTTGCCACAAAGATTGTTTCTGTATTGCATTTAATGGCTGTTTAAACAAGAAGTTCTGTCCTAGTCCCTGCTCAGAAGACCCACGTTGAGTTTTACCTGTCCCCTAACAAATCCCTCCATTCTCTGGTGCAGTCAGGTGTTGTTTGGGGAGGCAGTTGTTTGTTGTGTGTGTCCCTCCAGAATAACCCACAACCTGATGGCTGAAACATCCCAGGGATGGGAGGGGCTGGAGTCGGGATCTTGGGAAACAGCAAAGACAATTGAAACTGGTGTCCTACGCAATGGACAAGTGCTGTTATCACTGGGATATGATTATAAAAACCAGCCCATTTCCTTTGATAATGCCATAATTTGTGAGAAGCTTTTAGCCTCTAGTGTTTTTGAAACACTTTAAAATTGTTGCTGTTGGATTGAGGCTTTCAGGGGATTTGCAAAAAGAAATTTGATGTTGAAACCAAATTGTCATCTGGGTATTCTCAGGGTAGTCAGCATTTACATAGCAACTTTGGTTTTGCAGTTCAAGGACTAAGATAAAATGTGGATACCTAAATTGTTTTTTCTGGATTGATAGGGTTTTTTTCAGGGCTGGAAGAGAGAGATTCAGCTCTTGGATCCTTAATTAAAATGTTGGATACCAGTGTTGGACAAATATAGTATTTTATAGAATTTGTTTTGCTGGAGAAGTATTCTTTCTGCAGTTTACTGGAGGAATGGCCAGAAACTGAGTTACTTGTTCTAGAACAGTCTAGGCATTTTAAGAAAAATATTAAAAAAACCACAGAGATCAGTTAAATAGTAACTTATACTCGAGCAGAGCATATCTAGCCATAAATTATATTACTGTCTTTAGGCGAGTTACTTTGCAAGGGCAGAAGCTTCAAAGGTGTCTTGTTGTTAGGGTCGCAGCAGGAATGGTTTCCATGATGGAGAAGGCCCTCTCTTGTCTGGGCACCTTTTCCATCCTGCACGAGGCCACTCTGCAGCAGTTGGGGCCCTGCTTTTACTGCCAGATCCGTGGTCATTTAGGGAAACAATAACGCAGCTCATGGTGTGTAGTGGCAGAGGTATCCTTTGGAAAAGTGTCTCCTCAAACCCCTGTCATCAGACACGTTCTGTCTAAATTGCCAGAAGTTAATTGTCCATTATCATAAAAGCTGTAATTGCAAAGAAAAAAAAAAAAATCCATGGAAACTGAATTCCTATAAACACTTTATTCAGGTTTGCTCTTACTGCAGTCCCACTGGCACAGAACAGCACATCCATCTCCAGTGTTCACATCTGCTGCACTTACGGGTTGTCACAGGTCTGGCGGGTTTGAAGGTTGAGTCCATGTCCTGGGCATTGGAGGACTGAATTTTTTATATATTTATTTATTTTAGTTTTTATGTTAGTCTCTTGAGTCCATGTCCTGGGCATTGGAGGACTGTATTTTTTTATATTTTTTTTTAAATTATTATTTTTTTAGTTTTTATGTTAGTCTTGCAAAAGGGCTTTGGATTCATCAGCTTCTGAATCTGTGCAGGAATATGTGTGAGGGTTTTCAGAGTCCAAATAAAGTCAACGGAGAAGAAATCAAACAGAAGGGAAAGGCAGCTTAAGCTCCTGGCTGAGGTCCGCAGGGGCTCGGGGCAGATCCTTGCAGTGAAGCCTTTGCATCTCGGAACAACCCAACACCGACGGCACCGCGCTCTGCTGCCTTCGTAGGCTCTTAGAAAGGGAAACCTAGAAGTTGTCAACAGAAAGCAAGTTGGTGGATGGGAATGAGGATATTGTTTGAGAAAGCTTAGCTCGAGAGAGAAATCATAATGGTGCTGTCATTTTAGGACAATGCTAAAAAATAACCAAACCAAGAACACGCCTCAAAAAAAAAACAAACACACCACCAACAAAAAACCAAAAGCCACACCCCCCACAACCAAAAAACTAAACCCAAACCAAAGTAAAACACAAACCCTGCTTAAGCAGAATTTTTGGTTCATGTGCTGGCAGTGTAGAGTAAGTTTGGCTGCTAGAGTTTTGTCGCATTCTCAAGAGATTAGAAGTATTTTAAGAAAGCTATATTACAAAATAATTAAAAGCAGAGAAGTGTTTGCAGCTTTGTTTTAAAACCTGAAAGAAAAGCAGGAGTGATAATGATAAAGTGAAAATAACTTCCCCTGTGTGAATGAAGTGAGAACTGTCGAAGCATTCAAGCCCAGCCAAAAGTAGCAGCCAGTCTCTGACTGCTGGTTAGTGATATATTGTATTTTCTATTATCCATTTAAGTGGTATTTCTAAATAATTATAGGTTTGCTCTAAATAAAGAGGTTTCGTTTGTTTATTTGGTACAGAGATGACAGTTTAATCAAAGTACTTAATAGTGAAGCTGTTGTGGGGAGGGGGTGAATGATGTGTTCCAGTGGGACTGCACAAACGGGGTGAACAGAGGGGTCACCAAGGCTCCCAGCCACAGTGAGTTTGGTCACACCCCTTGGGCACCCAGACCCTGTGCCTGCGTAAAGATGCATAAATACATTGTACCTGTGGGTTTAGAAGCAGCTCTAGGAGACAGCAACACGTAGGAATTGAAAGCAAAGTGCAAAACAATTGTCATTTGGAGGCCTGTGTGCTGTGAAGCTCCTTGTGATGTCAGGAGGAGCTCCTGGACTTCAGCATCACTTGACTTTGATTGTTTTGGACAGAAAACTTTTATGTGTGTGTCTATCAGATGTATTCTCATGTTTTTATGTATGTGTGTGTATATAGACATAACAAAAAATCGCTAAACTACTTTCCTGTTTGTTTTTCCATCTTAGATTACTCCTTGACCAGTGCAGACCTGTCTGCCTTGCAGGGGTTTAACTCCCCGGGAATGCTGTCCTTAGGGCAGGTCTCTGCCTGGCAGCAGCACCACCTGGGTCCCGCCGCCCTCAGCTCCCTCGTGTAAGTACCTCTGCTGGGCTGTGGTACCTTGCCCCGTTGGGCGCTTCCCTCAATAACCTGCACCAGGGAATAATTAGCACAAAACCATTTTAACATCCTGTCTGCTGGTGAAGGGTGCGTTGCCTTTCAGGTTTGCTCCTTGGCTGGAAAAGCATTCTTGTTCCGTGTGGTTTGTCCCTTCAGTCCCCAGGCTGTGTCCCTGCAGGCCCAGCTGCTTACAGAGGAGTCACCCGCCCGGTGAACTTACATGTTTGGAAATAGGCAATGCTTCTGTTTGGGTTTAACTTCTATAAATGCAGTTCAGACCTTTAATGCTTTTTTTTCAACTTTCTTTCTTCAGTTCAGTAAGTTGCATTTATTTACATACTCATTTTGAGGGTGTTGAACCACAGGACCACGCCATCACAAGACACGGGAATTGTCACTTTCTTTTCCTCCTTCGTGTTTTCTTATTTCTGCCTTTTTGGTTTTTTCTTTTCCCCAGTACTGGCAGCCAGCTATCTCAGGGTTCCAACCTATCCATTAACACCAACCAAAACATCAACATAAAATCTGAACCGATTTCACCTCCCCGGGACCGTGTAACTCCCTCTGGGTTCCCGCAGCAGCAGCAGCCACAACCGCAGCCGCCGCAGCAGCCGCAGCCTCCTCCGCCGCAGCAGCAGCAGCAGCAGCAGCAGTCGCGGCAGGAAATGGGCCGCTCTCCCGTTGACAGTCTCAGCAGCTCCAGCAGCTCCTACGACGGCAGCGACCGGGAAGACCCGAGGAGCGATTTCCATTCGCCCGTGGTGCTGGGAAGGCCACCCAATTCCGAAGACCGGGAGAGCCCCTCGGTAAAACGAATGAGGATGGACACGTGGGTGACATAAGCTTGCGGTGTTGCCTCTTCAGTTTTGTGTTCTCAAAATGAACTGTCCTGACATATCTAAATTTATAAATAAGGACATGAAATAAGTATATTTATATGTATATACATACATGCATATATATATCTTCACATGCATATATATGTGCTAGTGTGTGTAGCATACACAGAATCATCAGGCACTTATGACAAACTTCTTGTATAGCTGCAGATGTCCCATGGTAAAACGTAACAGAACAATCCTGTAGGTATTGATCTAGTCTGGCACTTACCTGGACTTGTTGTTTTAATAATATAACCTGTTTTGCAAAGAAACCTTGTACCCGCATTATAATCCTACCACACTAGATTGCAGAAACCAAGAGGGCTCGCCTGTAGTAACGTCCCTGTGTGTTTTATTCAAGCTGTATGGTTACTTGTAGTTAAGAAATAATGCTTTGTAGCAGCAGAGCAGTAGAAAAGCAGGAAGAAGAAAGCAATACTGTACATAAAATGACCTTTATATTACCCAACCTGGCATGGGTCTCTATTGCAGAGGGTGCATGGAGAAGGGCTGATGCTATAAGAAAAAAAAAAAAAAAAGAAAAAAACCACAAAAACCCTGTTTTGCACGTGCAAAAAAACATAAATAGTGTATTGGGTCAAAGAAGTGATTTTTTTAATGAGTGAAAGAGAGACATAGAGAACTCGCATGAAATATTCAGAAAATATTAGCCTAGAAAATAGAACATTAACAAAATAAAATTAATATATTAAGTTATAATTGGAATATGTTTGACAAATTTGTTTTTACGTTCATACCTTTGAAAAATATAGAAACGGATTTTAGCTCATGTATATTTTATATTAAAGAAAACAATACCCTAATGAATTGAAGACTATATATAAAGTTATATACAGTACTTTTGAACACATTCTGCTATGAATTATTTATATAAGCCAAAGCTGTATGTTGTAGCTTTTTTGTAGAGTATAGTTTTATCTTATTTTGACTTTCTAGTTTTTGCTTTCAAAGATGAAAAGGAAAAACTTGCAGGCGGAACCTTGGGGGAAAAATAAGCCATGAACACTTATATGTAAATTTAAATTTGAGCCAAACTCTTTGTGTATATAGCATCCTAAATATATTATCACCTTTGGTGTAAGTACCTATGTATTGTACGTTCACCAGATTAAAAAGTATATTTTTGTGGATTGACGCCAACTTGAAAAAAGGCGAGGTCCTTATTAAGTAGAGTATTCACTGTTTAATATTTACTATTTTGTTAAATATACTGTACTTTCTTTGGATTTTAATTATTATTAATATTATTATCCAGATTTTTCAGAGGGTGTATAAAGGGGTTGTCCCCCTCACTGGTGGTGAATGTGTGCCGTTAAATTGTAATCTCTGTGCTGTATGGTTAAGCTTCATTATACATTTTATATATATGTATATAAATAGCAAAGTGGCAAAAAAAAAAATCCGGTGTTAAGTTCATCCTGCATAAATATAAAAAATCTGTTACAACACATTTTAAGGCATCATTTTAAAGCTGCCTCTGCTGAGGAGATAAAAAAAAAAAAAACCAGTGGAAAAACTTGACCTAATTTCTCATGATAGGGAAATAACACATATCAGATGAGCACAAAAGGTTTTTTGGGTTGGTAAGTGGTTTGGGATAAAGCCTCCGAAATAAATTTGCTGTTCCTCTTCGCTGCTGCCAGGAACTGGTGAGGAGTCCGGGGGCCGCCGTGAGGAAAGGCCTGGCCAGGAGAAGGTCTGGTTGCACTTGGTGAGTGGTGGCGCAAGGACAGCAGGGGCTGCCTCCTGGTGACTCACAGGGACCTCAGCCCTGTCCCTCGGAGGGGCCAGAGTACCAAAATGTGTCTCAGGAGCCAGAGCCTGGGTTTAGTGGCCAAACAGCAGCCTGGCGCGGTGGAGAGCAGTGGGGGGGGCCCTGTCAGGACCTTCCCAGGTCCTTCTCTCCATCCCGGCTTCCCACAAACTTGGAACCAAATTAACCCGATAGAACTGAACCTCACCTGGGAGTTCTGCTGCTGGGGAAGAAAGCACAGCGCTGTTTTGTTACCCAAACTCCTCTAAAGTTGTCCCTATTTACTAAATCCTTGCTTGAGCTTTAAATTTATATTTTTTTTAGTAATTACAAAAAAGATGACTTGATACTGAAACTAAGAAGTGTGAGAAGCGGAAATCCAGCGGGCCCAGCGCGCTCCTCAGCTGCTGGCTGTAATGTGAGGCTGAAGAGCAGAGTCGGTACCTGCGGCTTCCAAAGCCCAGCTCTTGTTGTCATGGTAACCTTTAAAAACCATAGTGGTTCCAGTTGGTTCCAGCCACTTACCTGGGAAACTCCTCCCCGTTTATTGTAGCTCCCAGTTCGCAGACGCGCGGAGGAAAAGGAGCCTCTTCCTGAGGGCAGCGCCGGTTCCAAAGTGACCGAATTCCCTTACCGCTCACAGAACCTTTTACTGCTCTGGAAAGTTATGTGATTTTTTTCATTATTTCTGCACATCTCTGACCTTTGCTGTCCATCAGAGTGGGAGTTCTGCATTCACATTTACTGTCTATTTTCTTGTGTGCCTTATAAGATGGCTTTGCTGACTGTATCTCAATAGTCTTTATTTCTATGCAGGTTTTTAAACAGTACTATTACTGTTTTCTTAAAGAAAAAAAAAAAGCTACATAAGGGTTAGAGTTTGTATTGAAATTGCACCAATGAATTAAAAGAAAAAATACTAATAATGATCTGTTCTGAAGAGCTGCCCCCGGGCCTGGGCCCGTGTTGCCCCAAACCCTTCCCCAGACTGGGCAGAACAACCCCCTCCCCCCAGGGGGGGGTCTCCTGCCTCGGAGTCAAGGGGAATCCTGGTTTTTAATACCAAGTAACTAACTTTGGAACCTACTTTTTTTAGGAATTGTAAAAATGTTTTATAAAAAAATAAAAAGAAAAAGAAGACATAGCACAGACATTTCAACAGGTTAAAAAAAAAAAATATGCTTTTTTTTAAACTAACTCTTCTGACTGCAGTTGCAAGTGGATCCAATCCTGGTCTGAACCCACTCGAGTCTGAATGATTGGAGATTTTTATCTTCTAACGTGACAAATCACCTCCATCCTCCAGCTCTCACCACCGTATTTAAAAATGCACGTTATCAGGGATTCGTCAGAGAAAAATGCTTTAGCCTTTCCTTTCACTTAGAGGACACTAATGCATCAGAAACTTGCGAATTACTGTGCGCACAAGAAATACATAGTAAATAAGGAACAAAATAACTCCTAACAATTGATCATGGGAAGAAGTTAAATTAGAATGTGAAAGAAAGACTTAACAAATGTAAACATTTAAATCTTAGTAGAAACTTTCTTCACTTTGCTGTGCAAGAGAACACTGCTTTGCTATATTTAAAATGGCTTTTTTAAAAGAGATTTATGTATTTGGTAAATGTTTGTAGTCAACAGTTCACAAAGAAGCTGTTCACGGTTTAATGATGATAAGCCGTTTGGCGGCACAAGCTGGACTTTGTTGCCATCCTTGAGACGAATCTTTTAAGAAAAAAATAAGTTAATCTCAATTTTTTTCCCTGAATGTGTTGTTTTTTCTTCAATATACAATAAATATTCTAGTGAACTTTTTATCAAATGGTTAAGAAAATGCTAGAGGTTGTTGTAAAATATTTGTATCCTGCATTCACTAAAGTAAAGATACTGGCTTTTACTGTGTACTCCGGCCTCTCTCGTCTTTGCTGAGCTCGGGCGGTGGGTGCAGCCTCGCCTCCCTCCCCGGGCACCTGACACATGCTTCCCATTCAGCCTGGAAGCTTTTGTTTTACACCACTTGTTTTAAGCTACTTGTTCCTACATTCAAATTGAGAATGATGCCCTCTGAGAACCTTGTTTCCAAGTGTTTATGGACCATTTCCAGGACACGCTGCCCCAACCCCGCTCTTGCCGCCAGCTGGGTGCTGGCTGTAGGCAGAGCTGCACCAGTGCCACCCTGAAACCAGTAAGAAGGAACCGCTGCTCCCCCTGAGCTGACTGGTCTGTGGCACAAACAGCTTTTGCCTGAGAAAAGCCCCGGTGGAGATGGGGGGGTCCTGAATTCTTCCTGTTGCCTGGGTCCGGTGAGACGCATCCAGGCAGGCGGGTGCCGAAGGGCTGTGACACGGTGCAGTCAGGTTGTGGTGACGACAAAACAAACCCAGGAGCCGCCCAGGGGGGGGTTGGATGGTGCCCCTTGTGCTTTTATTTCATTTTTGCTTTATTTAAAAATGTCATAGCCCGCCCCCACCCTGAAAAAGAGAGAAACATTTCCTTCACAGAAGAAAAAATACAAGTTTGGTTTGGGTCTTTTTTTTCAGTATAAGATACTTTAAAGTCCTCATTTACAAAATTAGGTTTCCTCAGGCTTTCCTGAGCACTTTTTTTTTGACAGTTCCAGGAAAAGCAGGTTTTTTTCGTTACATCACAGGGTGCTGGGCGTGGTGCCCCTGGCGTTGCTGGGGTCCTGGGCTCCCACCTCTGGCTGCTCTCCCTCGGGCCTGGGGCAGCACCGTGTCTCCCTGCAGCACCTGCGGAGCTGAATGAAGGCACCAAAAGCCCAAACCAGCCCCTCACGCCCTCCACGGCCGCGCTGCTCCAGCCTCACCAAGGACGAGGGCTGGGACCCTCCCGCACAGAGCGTGGCTTCCAGCTGCTTCCCTCACACCCTGCCCCATCCCCGGGTGGGCTCCACACTCCTGAGCTGAACAGACCGTAGCATTTGGGTCTAGAGAGTGTCTACCTCTGCCTGCAGTTCCCGAATCGGCTGAATTAAAATTTTTGAGGCACATTCTCCTTTGCAGCAAAATGCCCCAAAGTCTCCTTTCCTGCTCCCCTCTAGCACATAGTGTTTACTGACGCATCCCGAACAGCCCGGACCTCAGGCTTACCCACAGCTTGGGGCACCACCAGCCTCTGAAGCTTCACGGGGCTTTCCTGCTCACTCAGAGGCTGTTTAATGCAGCATCAGGAGGTCACAGAAATTCTTAACGTGCAGCAGCTTCGCAGTCCCCATCCTATAAGGGACTTACATTTCTTTCTGTCACTGTCTAAGGTGAGGCAGGGCTTCTTTCCTGGACTTTGCAATTTAAATGCGGCTTAGCGGTGCTCCCTCACTTGACTCCTGCAACCAAGGAACTCCAATCCATGATGAAATTAGGTATTTGAGATGGATAGGTTTGTTTTTTTTAAAGTAACACTGACTCAACCTTCCTCCAACAAAGAATCCTTTGCAAGGCGCAGTGACACTCCCAGCCTCCTCCAGTACGCGCCGGCCATCTGTGGCCGTGTGGGCTCTGGAGGGGGCCCTTCCCTGGCAAAAGCAGGGGTTCTGCAGTGAGTGACACACACTGCACTTCAGGAGACATCTCTGAAGGGTTTCAGAGAGGAGCAGACAACTGGTTTCACCCTTCCCAGAGCTGGGCTTGAAGCACCCCAACAAACACCTTAGCGCATTTGCTCATAGGGATGAAAAGGTGAGGTGCCGTGGCACAGCTGACAACACACCAGCGGTCACACATCTAGGGTTAGAGACACCACCACTGCCACGCTCTGCAAGAGATAAAATGATAGTTCAGAGAAAAAGAGGAATCCCTGCTTCTACTCTAAGCAAAAAAAGTGTTTCCTTAAAATGCAAACAACCCCCAGTTTGCCATTAATACTGCACTCTTCATCTCAGCAGCAAAGGATTTGCTTCCTAGACAAGGCATTAAGAAATACCTGAAGCAAACACGATGAGTAAATTGCTACAAAATGCTTTCCCTCTCCAGAGTTCACAAATGGTAAGCCAGCTGCCTGACCATCATCTTCCTAAGCAACATCCTTTCTTTTTTTTTTCATTAAAAAAAATCACATCACCTCACTTTCAGTCACGTTCAGGATTACAACATCAGCTACTTAAAAAAATAAAAATAATCTGGATCGTTATCCCCCTGAAAGCACTCGAGTCAGTCACCGGCGTACGGGCCTCCGCCGGGAGGGGAGGCTGCATGTGGCTACATCTCCCTCCCCCCCATCCTTAGGATTTTTTTCCTACAACTGAGCTTTGTGGTAATTTCCCTTCCAATCCATCTGCTGAAATATTTGAGGTTAGTGTTGTGTTGGAGGTATGGGCCACCAGGCCTTGTGTTTTAAAATAGATGATATAAAATACTGGCAGGACAATTCCGATCAGGAGCATAATAAAAACCGCGTTCCACCACTGGATGCCACAGTCTGCACCGTTACTGCTCTCCCGCTTCCCTGGCTCGGGCAGTGGCCTCTCCGGGGTCTCCACGCAGAACTCGGCGTTTAGCTGCACCTCCGCCCGCACCGCGTCCCGAATGCTCTCGTCTATCCCCTTGAAGTAGTCGCTCAGGTGTCGGCCGTCAGCGGAGCTGCTGGCACCCTCCTCCGGCTCCGGTAAGTCCACCAGCGTCAGCCCGCTCCGGGAGGGCGCAGTGGGGAGCGGCCTCAGCTCCCCGCCGGTCTCCGTTAACAGCCCGTGGGGCTTCACCGGGATCTTGATGGACTTCAAGGCGTACAAGTCCTGCTCCCGGATGAAGTTGTTGACGCGTTTGATATCTGCAACCTACAGAATCCAAAGAGGACACGAATATTACTGTTGGACACACCAGCACAGCAGCAGGAAGCAGCTACAAAAGCAGCGCGAAAGCAGCAGCCACAACACGAAAGCGAGCCCCGGCTGCACGTCGCTCGGTGTTCTGCAGAGATTCCCCAGCTGCTCCAGGGATGCTCCAGGTCCTGCAGTCCAGTTAAACCAGTCTATAACCTCCTCTAGTGCTCTTGTACCTTGCATGCTGTATTCCTCTCAATACTGATCCTTCCTTTTGCTTTCTTTACCCTTCTCTCACTTACTTTCTAATTCAAGGCAAGAAGAGTCTTTAGAGCAGATCCTTTTTAAAACAGTCTCTACACCTTCAACAATGCACGAGCGTTTAAGGTGAGAGGACAACAGCAGTAGGAGCAGGCCAAACCCTCCCCCTGCTCGGAAAGTGATTTCAGAGTGAGCAGAGCTCTGTCTTCAGAGCGTATGGCAGCTTTGAAACAAGATCACAGCCTGGCAGGGCAGGCGAGCACCTCTCCCACACAGGCACCAGCAGCCTTTGCTCGTGTTCTGGAGCACCACCCCTCGTCTGCCTGACACCAGCCTTGAGGCTCGTTTCTCCAACAACACCCTCTGTGCATCCGTGGTCACTGCTGGTGGTTCGTTCGTGTGTAGGGCCTCCATCTGTGACCGGTATCCCCTCCCAGCTCAGCGATGCAAACAGCAGTGAGAACAGCAGGAAAGAACAAACCATACACACAGCGCAAGCCACAAGGACAGCTGGTGTCAAAGACCAAAGGTGAGGCAGCATTTCTGTATTTTGTGTTAAACTCAGCGATGCAAACAGCAGTGAGAACAGCAAGAAAGAACAAACCATACACACAGCGCAAGTCACAAGGACAGCTGGTGTCAAAGACAAGACCAAAGGGGAGGCAGCATTTTTGTATTTTGTGTTAAAGAGAAGAAAGCTTAATAGACTGTGCACTGGCATCAAGTAAGTACATGCACTTCTCAGCTGTCCTAAATCCTCTGCCAAAGAAAATGAACAGGACCATCAACGTGTGCGAGGTGCTCTCCAAAGCACCCAAGGAGACATGAAAGAACCTCAAGGGAAAGGCTGGAGGACACGAAACAAAGAAAAACAGCAGGACCCCAAACCAAAGAGAAAGACCACACCAAAAGATTAACCACCTCTGATACAGAAGAGACACAGTATGAGGACTGGGCTTTCAGAGGAGGTTCTTTGAGGTATCTTGTAAATGAGTGTATGAACTGCACTCACAAGCTTGGGGCTACCAGTGAACCTGGGGAACTAAGAACTAGAAAGCACTTTACTTCCCAAGCAAACATTTCAGTGCCATCAGCGCCAACATCATTGACAGTTCAGAGCAAAGATCTCCTTGCAAAAGCTAACACAGCAGTACACCAGAAGGGAGCTGAACACCTCCTGTGCCATTCCAACCTACTTGCAGGCTGTACTGCTGCCAGCTGGCTGCCAGGAGCGGGCAGGCGCCACCCCAGCAGCAGAGGAGGTGCCCAGGAGAAGGACATCCTCCTTCCCTGCGGGCAATTCCCATGGGAACTCCCAGCAGCTCTGCCCCAAGCCCTGCCTCTCTCCCCACATCCCCCCTCCAGCCCCCACGGGCTGTCAGGGAACCCAAAAGGTACCAGGTCTGCTCCATCACAGCCAGAGAGCAAGACGCCGCTGACGGGCAGAGACGAGCTGAATGCCTGAATCTCACACTTACCCTGCAAAGCCTGAGAAATCAGAAAATGGGACGTTTAATCTAGACCCTAACCTGGTGCCCCCGAGGCAAAGGGAATCCTCAGCTGCTGGTTCAGCCTCCTCACAGCTTGCCCCAGCCCAACATCAGGACTTAAGCCCTGCAAAATTATTTAGTTATGAAATAACAATCTCACCCAAAGCCTTCCAACTGAGGTGGTGCTTCAAGTTTTGGGTTTGTTCCAATGAAAGCAAATTATTGGGACAGTAAATATCCCCTGCAGTCTCTGCAATCAAACACTGTGATGTTGTGCTAAGGCTCTAGACACAGAAAGTGGAGCAGCGCTCACAGAAACAGCAAACAAAGCTGATGGGAAGAATGCAAGAGCACTCGGCTGCACAAACCATTTAGGCTTATTTTCTGTACTCATTTTTTTTGGCTGCAGTGAGCTCCTCTTGTCCCAGCTAAGAACGATGCCAAAAGCAGGCCAGGACTATAAATGGTCAAGAGTAAAAATGAGAATTTTAAAGCGCTTTGCATCTCTGCCAAGTTATCTGTGGCACACACAAAGCTAGTTGTTGCCCTGTTTTAATACTCCCACCCCAAGTAGGCCCTGACAATTCTGAAACCAATGACAAGTTCTCACTGATTTCAAGGAGAAGCTCAACCTCCAGGTTTTCAAACGCAGTCGCATGTATTTGTGGCTAAAAATCTTCCTCACTGATGTCCTGGTAGCCTTTCAGGAGCTGCTTAATTGTGCAAGTAAAACAAAATACACCAAAATTGATCGGCGCCAGTCTGTAAACAGACAAATACACAGATCTCCAATAACAAGGATTTCTGGACCTCTTCAATTTAACTGGAACAGTCAGAGGTGCCCTTTCTGGAAGGGAGGGAGGCAGCAGGACAGTTTTTATCCTGTGGGAGGAGAAGACTGACTACCTGGTCCCTCCCATCTGCTTGCCTTCCCCAATGGGCAAGCCCAGTGCCCTTCATCAGGGCAGGCAGAGTAGATCTACCTGCACTCTCTGGGGCTGACGGGCTCCAGGCACAGGGCAGCAGAGGAGGCAGATGAACAGTCATGGCAGGGGCAGGACCAAGGCCTCCCCAGTTACAGCACAGGGGGCACAGCAGGATTTTTCGTGCCATAAACCAAAAGAGTTGCTCAAAATCTTCCTCCTCTGAGTTCACCGAACTGCTGTGATTTGACATAAGTGGCAATAATGATGCAATTGCTCCTGCTTAGAGCTGAGCATATAGTCGTGACTACAAAGTCAACTGATGTAGCTCTGAGTTTTCACGTTCTACCGGTGCCAATCAAGGCCTATTCAAGTCCTACCAGACTCACTTCTTCACACGCATCAGGCTCGTCAGCAGAACCTTGAAGGGTTTCTTTTTTGTTTCTGTTTTTGTTTCTAAGGGAATGGGAGGGGAGGAATTGTTGCAATTCCTCTAAGCCCTCTTGCTTCAGCTGCACCACACAGCTGCGTGGTTGAGCAAGACAGACTGCAATGGTATTGCAGCAGTTGAGCCAGTACCGTATCATTATCCCCATCCAGGTCACTGTCCAATGGTTTGCATCATGGAACTTTTTAATCACACTCTGGCTTGCAGATAAAGCAGGCCCTAAAAATACAGCTTTTACTGCTAAACAACAGGGTACTTCTAACATTCAGATCAGGTAATTTAACTATTCAACAGTTTTTCCATAAATTTTCTGCTTTGGGACAAAGAAAACATATTTTGTAGTATGTTCCAACTCCAGAGAAAACTCCAACTCCACCGTGCACACTCGCTCCCTGATGCCATTATCATCATCACCTGTGGATGGCTGAACCACACACACCTGGGTACGACAGCAATCAAAGCCCACGTACACCTGGACTCTGTGACCTGAATTTTAGCATTTCTCCTTCTCTAAGTCCACCTCCCTTAGACTTAGACCCTCCTTGCAATATGTAAGAGCATACCTTTAAAAAAATAAATGCACACCACCCCCCCACAAACCAGACCTCATCAGAGCGGCCCTTCTTTGCACTGTTCAGTTTGCTTCAAAAACTGTGTGATCCTTGAGAGCAGGGCCCTCACTCTCTTCTCTGTACTCCAGCTTCCAACTCTTTGCTGTCACTTAAATAATCAAGTACAAAGCATGACTGCTAAACTGCACTTAGTCACTCAAATTAAACAGGGAAGCAGGTCGTGCAGGGTGTGGGGCTGACAGTATCTTCCTGGGCTGTGAGCTGAAGAACTCGTTGTTGTTGTTGTGGGTTTTTTTGCCTGTCTCCAGCTCAGTTTTACCCAGATATTGGCCATGGATGAAATACACAGGAACAACGCTTTTCTAGTGTCAAAACTATTAGACAACAGCACACCCTCCTGTAATTCTGGAAACTAAGCTAAACGTAAAACATCTCTAAAGTAATTAAAAACAGAGATAGCTCTTACTTTACAGCCGTACTGCAGGGCTAGCTTGTTAAGATTATCATCCTCTGTAATCTCTCGTTCCAGAAGTACCACATCTCCGACTCTGTCCCGAGAAGTGCTGCATCGCTGCTGCTCTTTGCCCCTCGGCCGCAGTTCCATGACATTGAGTTCCTCCTCTGATGACTCCTCTGAGTCAGATTGGCCATCGGGAAACACGTACACCTGCCTGCCTGGATAGCTGTGGATGGTGACAGGAGCCTGGAAGGATCTCGTCCGGCTCTCATTCAGCCTCATCTTCTACACCGGCACCTGGAACAAAACCGAGACATTCTGAATTTCCTTAATACCAGTGTTTATTTCTTAGATCTAAGATTTGGGAGAATGGACAAAAAGCGCAGTAGTTGCACGCGTGCACGCACAAACACAAAGCTTTCCTTCCACCCAGATCTTCCGAGGGGCAAACTCTAACAGCAATGACAGAACTAATAGAAACCTTATGAGCACAAGCTTCAACAATGGGCAGATTACTTTCAAACCTTTTTTTTTTTGTCTACCTGTGAACAAACCACTATATAACACTACTTTGTTACGTATCTTAAACACTACTTTTTATAACATAATAAAAAAAGCATAAAGGAGTCCCTCGAGCCAAATGTCTTTCAGCGTGGTAAAAAAAAATAATCCATGAACTACGTCAGTTCTCCTACCAATACACATTAAAAACTGACCAAAATTATCCTTTATGTCACCTTTCCAGAAGTCCTTAGTTCTCTACACTTGTAAGAAGCCACATTTTAATTTCATGGAAGTGCACTTTTTTTTTTTAAAAATATGGACAGCTCAAGCCACACTTAACTTCAACCTGAATGACAAGGTTTTGTCATTGTGTTGTATAAAGGCAAGAACCTGCCTGAGCACTTTGTTTTAATTATTCCTAGGCCAACAGCAGCAAGTTGTCAGGGACAGGCATGGCTAAGAAACCCCCCTGTTCTCACACAACCTCACTGATCTTAATATTCTCTATGTACCCATAAGGGATTCTTACAGTGACACCACTACCATTTCATGGGGTTTTATCAGCATTCAGCGTGGCACCCATGGGCTGCTGGCAGGGGCATATCTGTACTAGAAGAGCTCAAGATTGAAGACCAGGGTCTCCCTGGACGCTCCTGTGGGACACCTCTGCCCTTTGGGAAGCTGCAAGCCAAGGGTGCAAGGGGTGCTCTCCTGACGCTCTTCCCTCATCGCTCCTCCCCAGGGAAGGCCAAAACTCTTCTCCAG